ATCATATGAGGTGTATCTCCAGCAATACCCCCAGCAACCTGCAAGTGAAAATGCCAAGGACAACAGTGCCTATGTCAAACAGAAAGAGGCCACTCCATTACGTAAATTCATCAAATTATTACTTATCGTACCATAGTAAAAAACTGATGCAGGTTCTCCTTTCTGCCACCTCTCTCTTCATCCCCACAAGCATGGCCAATTTGGACAAGAAGCTCGTACGCCCGGTTCCTTGTTTTCTTGTTAGGCTTACATGGAATCCTCAATAATCTCAGTACAGGAATTAAATAATTATAAACGTTTTACATTTATAAACCGTTCTTCCACCTAGGCAGCCAAGACTAGTTAATGGTGAGAAAGTTATTACGTTACTACAACGTTCTAAAAGCTCTCATAGCAAAATGATCATGAAAGAAGATAGTAACTGTTTTAAGCACTAACTTGACCCTTTTGCTAAGTTACCCAATCCTAAAGAGAAATCAAAGACCATTAATCGAGGCTATAAGTAACAAAACAATCTTTTACCTGGGATTTTGTGGTAATTCGAGGACACAACCACATGAACTAATAACAAAAATAAGGAGAAGAATGATGACAGTTGGAAAATGCAGAGCTCAAGAAAATGATAAAAGTCCACTAATTTTGGAGTCAAGTATCAGTAGAAGGAACAAGACTAAATGTAAACTGATGGAATTAAAAGAGGAGAGAACAAAAAATGTGGATACTGAGTGTAGTTTGTACAATCGTTTTCCATCCGGGACCTACAAAAATTAATGCTTAGCCCACTGTGCTTCAGAATGCCGTTTCACATGGAAAGACTACTAAACTTATAGCATGATTAGGCTAGAGACATCTAAAAGTTAGAGGACATACTTCAAGCCTTAGGAAAAAAACAAAATTTATTATGAAAACCTTGATAATAGCTAGCAACTTGTAGCCACTGCAATTAGCAAAAGGCTCAAACTTGATGTTAGAATAGCAAAAGGACTAAAGATATTACTAGAGCATATATTTCCTATAGATTCATCCTTCTATACCAACTATGGGAGAAAAATCATTAAGGATAAATGGGCACATTTACAGCAAAATAAATTCCTTTGGGAAAAAAAATACTAGTCAGCTCTATAGCAGATGAATAATAGACAAACCTCTTTGAGTGCAAGCAAAATTTCAGTCATAAAAGAAGTAATACTGTCACGCCTCCTCTGTTCTGGGTCATCCTGTAGAATGCAATGAAGTGTAAAAAACTATGCAATGCTATGAATCTGCACAAATTTGAGGCGTCACTNAACTATGCAATGCTATGAATGGCACAAATCTGACGCATCACAGTTTTATCCACAAGAGGATATGTGTCACCTTTGTAACATGGACAATTAAAGAGTATAGACAGTCAAGTCTGTAACGTTTGGCTGAAAAATGATTTGCAGGTAGTGCTTCAATCATCAAATTAAGCAACTTTTCGGTACTTCTTGAAATAAATTCATCTGATTCCTGTCCAAAGAAGTTGCAAAACTTAATAGCCACAAAACAAATGTGCCAAAAATATAAACGAGAAATCATAAGAGAGGTGCTTTAACAGTATAGCTCAGATTTCTTTCTTCAGAACTTGTACCCCTTTTAATCTGAATATTTTCAACCATGCCAATGATATTTCACTTACTCAACTCACAAGTTATTTATACAAGTTGTTTTAATTTTTTTGGACATCACCATCCAGTCCTACATACGTTAGAAGAATACTGAGAAGAAACAACAACAATGCCTTTACATGATATTTGGTGACAACACTTACCCGAAGGATGATGGAAAGAACTTTATATGCCTTCTTCTGGATCAAGCCTTCATCATCCTGTGCCTTATACTAGTTATTAAATCTTCTACATCAAAAAACTGAAAGGTGCAGAAGCAAACACATAACTGACACCAACCATTAAAGCAGGCTCTATTGCACCAAACAGTGCATTAGTATGTTCAGCATCTAAACCAGGCAAGAGAGAAACCGCCAGATCAAATAACTGTGCCCTAAATGATAAGAAGCAAGAGATATTGATTCAGTTAACACAAAGAAAAAGGGACTTTGACAGCAGAAGGAATGAAACAAATGTGATTTTGATCATCCTACCTCTTTAGCGACAAAGAACTTTCACTGGATGAGTCATCAATCTGCATTGAATTGGAACTTTTGGCCTTCTCTGCCTTCCCAGACTCTCGAGTCACCTTCAAAAGCTCACGCATGGTCTTCATAAAGAACTTTCTTACTTCCTCCTTGTCAGCAATAGGAGCCAATTCACGGATTGTGCTCTGTATGTAATACGTATTGTTCGAAAAGTGAGCTAACAAGATATTTTCCAATCATTTTCTTACAAAAAATAAGTAATGCTTTCAGGTCTGACGACTTCGGAAAAAACATAAAGAGATGCCAATACACCAAATTATGGTCTTTATAAGTCATAAATGGGCTATAAAATTTGTGCGGTAATTATTTTGACCAAGTAAAAAATTCAGGCATACTGAACCACAGAAGAAAATGTAAGTGTACACTGTATCACAAAATATGAATAACATACAAGCTTTGGATTGCCAATAACAGACCTTGTCAACAGCTTAAAAGAGACTGAAATACTATAACATACATCACCTCTAATGAAAAATGTGACAAGACTACCAAGTGACAGCATCTCAAATGTGACGGATAACTAAAAACACAATTTTTTAAAAATTACTGAACTACACAAGCAACAAGGACGAGGAGAACCTTACATAGAGACCTTTTAAATCAACAAAATCTACTACCTCCATAACAATAACAATGGCCTGGTTTGGAGCAAACTGATCAAACCAACCAATCCTCAGTCTAAACGCAGATTAAAATATTTTTTGCAAGGAAAAAACCTTATAGATTAGGCATAAAATAATGTTAATAATTAATCAACAAAGGTTTGTTTAATTAAAACTTCAACCTGAATATAAACGATTCAGTCAATAGGGGAAAGGATCCATTCATGTGTTGAGTCTCGTTTGACTGAAAGATGTGGCCTTTTGGATCCCATTGCTTGATAACATCTTTGGAGCAGTAAAGAAAAGATGTGGTCTTTTTCTTTTGTATTAAGTATAATGCCTTTGGATAGCAACTAAACACATATGAGCAAAGTGGTCGAAATGGCTACAAGGACACAGAAAAAACTATTGGAGGATATGTTTCCAACGGCCTCTTTGGTTTCTTACATGCTACTGAGAGAATTAGCACAATATAGATATAGAATGCAGTTTCTTCTTCTTCTTTTTTTCTTTTTCTTTTTCCATTGGAGTGTTTCACTGTTTCTCTAATGCAGTTGTGACTGTGATTCAAAGATTCATATATCAGTTACAACACTAACAAAAGAAATTCATCCATCTGAGTATCTACATTGGCACATTACTATCCCCATAGGGTAATAATACCCTTTTTTACGTTACCTGCAAAGATCCACCAGTATCCTTAGAGGATTTTCGGAAGACTCCGGAGAGAACAGACAGCAGTTTAGGAGCAGAAAGACTCAATGCATTCAAGTTATCACGTGCAACTTGCTGGTTATAACGCGCAATGGCTCGTTTTTTGGGAACGCTCATTTCAGTATCAGACAAATCCACTTTTCCTTTTGAAATGCTATCGTTCTGCTGAATGAGGATTTGCAAACTGGAGCATATTATCCCACAAACATCAGGCTCTTCCCGTAAAGCTTTGCTCAAAACCTTCTCCAAATCCTTAAAGCTTTCAGCAGTGTCCACAGGGTAATTGCAAAATGAGGGTAACAACGACCACAATGAATACACAATTCCATCAACAGTTCTCGCAGTATAAATCTTTCCCTTGCTCTCGAGCTACCACAAAACATAAGAGTGAGCTCAGTGTAAATAAAAGAGGGGCACAAGAGGTGTCATTTAGCATAAACATACCATTGCAGACCTCTGCTTCATAGCTCCAACCATCGACAAAATTGAGTTGGTAAAGAAACTTAAATGCACACCAACGATGTTTTGCTTTAGAATTGGGAAAAGCCAGATGTTGGACTCCGATAAATCTTGCGCGTCCAATTTAAGAGGAAGAAGAGTTAGAAAAGATTCAGGTCCCATTGCACCAACAGCTGATCCAACACATTCGTGCAGCTGTTATCAACAAATCCTTAAATCAGCAGTGTATACTATCGGATAAGAAAATGCTATAGCTAGACAAGCTCACAAATCATATCCCAAAAGAACATTAAAGAACTAAAGAAAAAAGCAATTCAACAAGGGAAAGGGTCCAACACACATTCATTGGTTATATCTGTACATTTTTATGGGCTTTTAAAGTATATCTCACACTTATAAATAAATTTATCTCATAACAAAAACTCCAAAGACTATGCCAGGAGCAGCAGACACTGATAGTGGTTCGCTATCTTCCTTGGATCCCGAGAAAACAAAAAGACAATCATCAGCCGAAGGAGTTCGCTGATCCGTTCTTCTTGTCTGGTCTCAATTCCTCTTTATCTTTTTTTCCTCAAATGTCTCTATCCTATATTTTTCTCAGTCACTTCTCAAGTTGGTAGCAATTAGTCCTGTTTCTCTTTTCTGTCAGAGGGCCTTGGCCAAACTTTTTCTATACAGCATCAATCCAAGATGTCTTCAAACCAGAAGGACGTGCTACTTCATCCATTGTCTCTACATCTAATGCTTTCAGGAATTTCCACACAAACTTCACCTATATCTGCTCAAAACTGCTTATCAAGTTCTATTATTTCCTCATTTAGCGAATCAGATTGATCTGGATAGAAATCCAAACACGCTTCCTTTCCTTTGTCCAAAGAAGTCTATTCAGAAAACCTGCAATGCCCTCTCACCATTGTGATAAATTTGATCTCTTAAGCTATTTAACCAAATAAATTTAAATGCATGTAAAATATTAGCCTATTCTCCAATGAAAAAACATTACCTTATTTTTACCAATCAGACAATCTTTTATTAGTTTTTAGCCAATCTAATCATTTTTGTTTGTTTATACTGCATCTGCCATGACTATTTCCTTTTTTTTTCTTTGATTGATAGCATATGCCATGACTATTTAGTTTGTAATTTTTCCTTTTCGGTCCTAGTTTCCAGATACATAATTATATTTGTTCATTTGCGAATTTCAAAGTATTAGGATCATAACAACAGGCTTAAAATTGTGAGATCTCCATTAGACTCAATGTCTTAGGAGCAGCAACATTCCTGCATCATATTAATTTCTAAAAAATCGAGGCTTTGAAAATCGAAACATAAGCCCAGCTAATAATGGAGAAGTCAAATTTGATCATCAATTCAAATTGTCACACAGAGATCAAATACAAAAAGCAACTGAAACTGTTGTCAAAAAGGTCAAATTGCAAATAGTGGCAGCACCAGAATAACTCGGGGGGGGGGGGGGGGAAAAAAA